TGTGATTAATGGAAATAAGAGTCGCTCAGACTTTCCTGACTGGGCTAGCTTCGAATCACAATCCTCAGATCTCAGTTTCCTGAGTAGCTAGGATTGTAAGTGTGAGCTACTGGCACCCAGAAAATTGTCACATTTTAAAATATCTATGTATGATAAGAAGTAAAGTTGGCTTAAAATTTACTTATCCATTGAATAATTACAGAAATGCTATGTACCATGTCCTATGTTGGTATTGGCTATCATAGAGTATATACAGATTTGGTTCCCACCCTAGAATATATAGGTACAAGGTGAAGGGAATGGAGTATAGTCATAAAATTATTATAGAAATAGAACAGTAAGGCACAGCTAGAACAACTGTGAGACATGGCTGAAAGCCTGGTCCCCAAATGTCTGAAAAATCATGAGCAAAGTGGAGTTGTGGCTCAAAGTGACAGAGCAACAGCTTCAAGCAGAAAAAACTATGAGGCAGAACACTCTGGTTTCATTTAGTAATTTAAGGAAGAGACATTGTGACTGGAAATTGTGTATTGGAGGGAGAAGCAGAGACCAACTGAATAAGGGGAGAGTCAAGGCCCACATGTAGCCTATGAAGGCCAAAGTTCGTTAAGATCTTCAAGTTCATTGCAAGGCTGTGAAGGGGTTGTCAGCAGTTAGTGATGTGACTGGATGCATGCTTTATGAAGAATAAATAGAATAGGCAGAGGTGAAAGCAGCAGGGCCCCGGGTGACCAGATGGAAGTGATAGAGTTGAGAGAAATGATGGAAGCTTGTATTGTGGCAGGGAAACTATTCAAGATAATTTTTGGCAAGAGAAACAAAGAAGCTAATGAGATGAAGAATGTCGGGGGTAACACCTTGAATTCTAGTTTGCAGAAACAGCAAACAGGAACAGGTTTGGGTATGAGAAGAGAGAGCTTAGGAGGCATGTGCTTAGGTAGGCAATAGGATGCCAGTTCTGAAGCTCAGAGCAGAGATGGTGAGCTTAAGATCCAAACGTAGGAACCGTTGGAGCTATATATTAAGCCCTGTGAAAGTATTTGGTTTGCTGAGGAGAAAATATCAAGAGAAGAGCACCCAAAATTGAAATTTTTTTTTTGAGATTTGCATGTACGGACTGTAGAAGAAGAGCCTGAGAACTAGAATAAGAAAGAGTGGCCAGAGAGGCTGGGGGAGAGCAGGAAAAGCGTTGTATTCTAAACTGTAGGATGGAGAAACAAGTTGACCAGAAGAGCCTTCTCTCTGGGGCTAAGGATGGTAAGAAGTCAGATGACAGACTGGTTGTGAGTAGGTAGTCTACTGCACTGGCCAGGAGAGTCACACCAGTAAAGTGGGTGTGGTTAGAAGCTAGAACTGATGGTTTCAGAAGAAAAAAAGAGGTAAAAAACAGCTGTTTGTAAGCTGTTAGAGGAGTAGAAAAAAAATAGATTAGTAGCTAATGAGAGGTGTGGGATCAAGAGAAGGCTGCTGTTTCTTTTAAATGGAGCCACAGACCGTGATCTATATTTTAGTAGAGTTTTGAATGTAAAGTAGATATGGTACAGGCTACTATAATCAGGTTCAAATGAGACAAATTGATTTTTATCTCATGGAACAATCCAGGACACATGGAGTAGCTCTGATAGCCTCCTGAATGTGGTTCACCCCTGACTATGTCTAGGAGACAATATCGCTCATTGTCTTTTTCCAGCCAATGGAAAAGGGAAAAATCTAGGGCCCGTGGCATTGTACTTATGAGGATGATCAAAACCAGAATACATATTTTTATACTTGTCACATTATCTAAATTTAATCATATGGTCGCATCTCATCCTAGCCTCAGTTAGGGGGAATGTCAACTGAATATAAAAATGAGGTTACTAGCCGGGCACCAGTGGCTCACACCTGTAATCCTAGCTACTCAGGAGGCTGAGATCTGAGGATCATGGTTCAAAGCCAGCCAGGGCAGGAAAGTCCATGAGACTCTTATCTCCAATCTCAGGAGACCAGAATTGGCTCAAGTGATAGAGCGTTAGCCTTGAGCTGAAGAGCTGAGGGACAGCACCCAGGCCCATAGTTCAAGCCCTATGATAAAAAAAAATGTGTTTACTATATAATATATAATATTTCAAGATACCTTTTCAGTACAAACCTTGAAGATGGCTATTTAATTATTAATTATGAAGTCTATATAGCAACTGGGAAAACATTATCTGCTAGGTAAACATACACATTTAGTATAATTATATTAAAATATTCAGGGAAAATTTAAATAATCATCCATGATATGATATGGGTAGTGTTCTGATATTTCTCCCTAGAAAAAAGTATCATCTTAAATGAAAAAGTCTGTGATGAGAGAATTATGTAATAGAAATTTAATTCATTTAAATGTCCTAGATAATTGGCCATTTTTGTGCTTATTTAAAGAAAATAAAAGTTTATACCTAAACAAAAATAATTGGTTACTTAGGAAAGATGGGGGAACTGGGTTCTGGGAATCTATTTCTGCCTCAAACTATGAAGCACTTTGGTCCAGGAAGGAGGTTACAATATTTTCATCTGTTTCTAAACCACATGAAGTGATTAGCAAATATTTGGTCCCCAGTAAGTATTTGGTAAAGTGAATTGCTTACTAAAAGTAGTAATTCAGTGGTAGGCTCTGAACAACACACTGCCAATATTTTTCCCCTCTTCCTTCCCTTTTTCTCTCCTCTTACCTCTCTTCTTCCTCTCCCAGTGCTCTCCCTCCTTCTCTTTCTCTACTATCCACCTTTCCTCCACTATTTTCTCTTGGTATTTATACTACTTCCTAAGATAAGCATGCCAAAGAAAATGTAACCTTTTCTTTCAAGATTTGCTTCAAAAGCTAAAGCATAATGTCAAGAAAAAGAAGATTGTTAGTTTTATTTGGATTGCTCTTTTGCTCTGTGGTTGTAGTTGATATTTAACAATATGCTTTGGGCAGCTCAGCACATGCCAAGTTGATATGTCTTTTATTCAACAGAGGACTGACTGATGATTGTGAAAAGTAACTCAATGTAGCCAGTATAGCTATTGCCCCAACTGGTATTTTTAATCTTCAAATTGTTAAACACATTCTGATGTATCTTAGAAATAGACACTAAATAGTGACTTTACTATAAAATCACTAGCTTAATCCTGCTTAATTCCAATTATTCCAGTGAGTATGTCATTTACATTTTTCCTTTGCTCAGAAAATATTTTACAATGAAATTAGGATTAGAAAGAAAATCATAGGAAAATGAGATTTATTTCTGAAATGTGTACCACAATATGTAAGATAAGAAGTTAGTTAAAATGTCTCTGTGTTTGCTTGGCATAGCAGCTCTCTAGCTGCTTAGAGCATTATTAGTGGGGTCTTTAGGTTCCTCAAAATCTAAACATAGATCTTCCCTACAACCCAGCCATACCACTTGTGGGCATCTGTCTAGAACATCACAAGCTGGGATATGGTAAAGACCTTTGCATATCCATGATTGTTGCTACATGATTCACAATAGCCAACCTATAGAACCAGCCTAGATGCTGTACAACAGATGAATGGATTAATAAAATGTGGTGCCTGTACACAATGGAATTTTACTCATTCTTTCAAAGACTAAGATTGTGTCATTTGTCAGGAAATGGATAGACCTAGTATGAACCATGCTAAGTGAAGTAAACCAAGCTCAGAAAGACAAAACAGTACATGTTTTCTCTTATATATGGAAGCTAGATCTAAAATATAACTGGACATGATAACCAATACGGGACTCTAGGCATTCACACACAGTCATACTAAAGATTACCCTGAGAAGAGGAGCACAAAGGTGTAACTTCTCTGAACATTTAAAATACTGTTTATTGAAATGAACTCCTCCAGGAAATGGAAATATGTCTTTATTATTGTTGTTGGTGGTGGTGGTGGTGGTAGTGGTGGTTATTTTTCCTTTGGGTTTTTTCTCTAGGAATGGTAAGGGGGGCACAGAAAGGGAGGAAGGAAGGGTGAACAAATAAACTCATGCTATTCAGTATACTCTATGTGGAAGGTGGGCAGGGATGGGGAGTGGAAGGAAGGGATGACATTGTCCAAAAAAAGAAATGTACTCATGACCTAACTTATGAAATAGTAGCCCCTCTGTACAATGTGTTAATAACAATAAAAATCATTTTTAAAAAATCTGCTTTGAAAACAAATCTATCATCAGAAAACAAATCTATCATCAGAAGAGAGGAGAATGTCAGATCTTTAGGTGTGACCTTGTCACTTGACACATAGGGAAACTGAGGCATAAAACCCCTAGCTTGGCTGTCACAGTTTTAGAAGATGGTAGCTATTACAATGTGTGCTTTTTTTACAATGTCTGTTATGATTTTTGTTCTGAGTTCCCTGTGAGATACAAGACAAACATCTTTCAGGTTCAGAGGTAGGGATGGGCAGCTATGTAGAGCTAAGTGGGAGGGAAGGGAGAAGAGAGGAAATGTCTATATCCTTGATGAGGTCATCTTCTGGGGGCCAGAGGGATGGATGGATGGATAGATAGATAGATAGATAGATAGATAGATAGATAGATAGATAGATAGATAGATAGATAGATAGATAGATAGACAAAATCTTTTTCAGTATACGTATATGCGTATACAATCTTTTTTCAGTGTATGTGTATGCATATATATTCAGTAAAATTTACTTCTGAAATTAAGTGTGATTTAATAAGCATGATATTTCTGAAATGCCATGATCATCTGAGACAAAGATCGAATAGAAATAAAACCCATGATGAGTCCAAGTCAACTCTTTCTCACCGTGAGTTAAAGGTTCATTCTGATCCACAAGTGGGCACGCATCTTCAGCGTGGTGTGTTGGGTGTGCGGTCAGGACTGATTTCGGCTGTGAAGCCTCCTTCTGCCCCGCACTCTCTCCTCTGAGCCTTTTCCTGGTGGCTAGTTCCCCTAGCTCTTGCCTGGAGAAGGTAATTGCACCCAGTGACAGCATCTTCCCTCTTTTCTGCTTGCAGAACAATCAACCATGACGACTGAATCAGGATCAGACTCGGAATCCAAGCCGGATCAGGAGGCAGAGCCCCAGGAGGCTGCTGCGGGTCCTCAGGGGCAGGCAGGGGCGCCGCCCGGGCCGCCCGAGCCCCCCAGCGGGAGCGGAGAGGAGGAGCCTGCGCTTGAGCAGTTCTCCGGGGCTGCAGCCCACAGCACCCCAGTGCGGAAGGAGGTGAGCTTGCCCTGGACACAACCAAGGCCCCTTTGCGGGCCCCGCCTTCACCTTGATCTCTTTGCACCAGTCCTCAACTACAGCTGAGGTCATCTGCTTGCATGCTGCTTAAGCTTTCCAGGAACGACTTTCCCTACCCTTGCTTGGGAAGTCCACCCTTAGATTAAAAAACCATTTAAGCCAGGTGCTGAAGGCTTACCCTGTAATCCTAGCTACTCAGGCCGCTGAGAGCTGAGAATCAAGGTTCAAAGCCAGCCTAGGTAGGAAAGTCAGTGACTTCCCTCTGATAATCACCTAAAATCCAGAGGTGGAGCTGTGGCTCAAAGTGGTAGAAGACTAGCCTTCAGCAAAAAAGCTCTAGGACAACACTCAGGCCCTGAGTTCAAGCCCTAGTACATTCTCTCTCTCTCTCTCTCTCTCTCTCTCTCTCTCTCTCTCTCTCTCTCTGTCTCTCTCTCTCTCTCACACACACACACACACACCACGAGCTGAACTCTGGACTGGAGGTTTGAATCATGTCTATATTTACCCTGTACATGTTACAGGAAAGATACTCAGAAAGCTGACAGTTTTAATTATGATTCTGACTTTAAGAGTCAGAACTGTTCTGATTTTCCTCAGGCATGATTCTGACCCCAATATTGCCCATCTACTTTTAGTGGATGTTCAGGTAGTCTGTCTCCCACTCTGTGCATCTGTTTTCAGTTCTATTTCCTATAACATGTTTGAGTTGTTACAAGTAACCTATTAATTTTAAAGATTTTCTTTCAAGAGACTGGAACATAGTGGAAGAGTATGTACTTGTGGACTTAGCATGTGAGAGGTCCTGGGTTTGATCACCACCATCATACACACACACACACACACACAATACACTTGATCTTAGCCAAAGAGCAGAGAAGCGAAACATACACACAATACAAAAGAATAAATTAATGGCTAATACACATGCCTTGAACGAACCCATGTTTAATTTCATCTTTAAATGCGCCTGCAGTGGAACTTGGAGCTTGAGGTCAGGTCCTGGACACTGTCCCTTAGCTTTTTTGCTCAAAGGTGGCGCTCTATCACTTGTGCCAAACATCTACTTTGGTTTTTGCTGATTAATGAGAAGTACAAGTTTCATGAAATTCCCTGCCTGGGCTGGCTTTAAACCACAATCCTCAGGTATCATACTCCTGAGTAACTAAGATTCTAAGTGTAAGCCAGTAGGTGGCTTATTTAAATGTCTTTTGTCTTAAAATTTCAAACGTGGAATTGAAATGTCTTAGAGTTCTAAATGGTACATAGAGAACAAATCCAGAATCCCTATGAGTGATTGACATGTCAGAGTTCAGAGGATTTGTATTGAGCTTGAAATTTTAGAAGATAATCAAGAGAAGGAACAGTAAATTAGCATATGTGAAAAATCTCAAAGTCAACTCCTTGCTATAATCTCAACACACGGTTATAATACCAAAATACGTATATATATAGCCACATTATTTCTTTTCCCAAGGCACTTACAAGTTCTGTGCTTTTTTTATTTTATTATTTATTTTTATTGTCAAGGTGATATACAGAGGGGGTTACAGTTACATAACTAAGGTAATAAGTACATTTCTTGTTGAACTTTTTACCCCTCCCTCATTTTTCTCCTACTTTCCCTCCTTCTTCTCCCCCCCCAAGTTGTACAGATTATTGCCATCATATTTACATGTATATCTGTTGCATTGGCTTCCCCCTTGTCCTTTATCTCACCATTTTGTTGTCCCTCTTTCCTTCCCTAATTCAGATAAAGGTTCTGCTTTTGAATAGTGTCAATAGTCAAATTTATTTTCCCTTTTCTAATCTAAGGGGGCTCATTAATTGCTGAGAACACCATCTCAGCCTTGTAGACAAAATCTAAGGGGCTGCTTTTGTTAGCAACATAGTTTTACTTAGCTTTGTCTTTTATGTGGAGTCAAGATGGTAGTATTTAACATTTATATTTGTACATTTATTTCTTTTCATTCGAACATTTTATGTCTGCCTGGCTTTGTTCATTCATAATTCTGAAAAAATGAATGAAAATGGGGAACAGTTATAGAAAAGAATGAATATCTTATGCCTACATCAACTGTATAGAGCCACATGTTAACATAAATAAATGCATCATTAGCAATATCATTATTATGTGGGTATTACAGGTTGTACATTTACAGCACAGATGCTATACCTAAGTACTGGCCTAGGCCTGTATAGCAAGCCATGGACATATGCTTATAAACATAGACAAACATATTAATATAGTAAAATATATACACTGTATGTATGTGAATATCTACATATCTATATCTATCTCTCATATAAAATTGATCTTACAGTCATGTTGAACAGCACTATATGAGATTGAGATTAAATGAGACAGAAAATGAGCCATGAAAAGACGTCTTCAGCACTTGATGGAGGTTGCTGCTGTTAACCTCATTGTTAAGATTTACAGTAAACTTCTCTTAGAAGCATACTCTAAAATAATCTTATTAGCACAGTATAGTAACTACATAAACCAGTAACAGGATTGCTTATTATCAAGTGCTCTGTACGTGCACATATGTTCTATACGTTTGTGTGTATGTGTGCCAGTTCTGAGGCTTAAACTCAGGGCACTGTCCCTGAACTTCTACCACTTGAGACCCAGCTCTACTTCTGGACTTTTTTGTAGTTTAATGGAGGTAGGAGTCACACAGACTTTCCTTTCCAGGCTGGCTTTGAACTGCAATCCTCAGATCTCAGCCTTCTGAGTAGCTAGGATTACAGCTGTGAGCCACTGGTGCCTGGCTTATGTGCTATACTTTCATATGACTGGAATGTAGTCGGTTTGTTGACACTAGCTATCACCACAAGCAATGAAAAGTTCAGTGCTGTATGATGTCACAATGGCTATGACATCAGCAGGTAGTAGGAATTTTTCAGCTCTATTTTAATCTTAAGAAACCATCATCATGTGTGTAGTCTGTGGCTAACACATTATAGGGTCAATGACTTTGGGCTAAATCTCCTATAGTCAGATGTTTAGAACCCCAACTAGAGAAATGACACTAAGGCACAGAGTGGAAGGCACCTGGCCACACAGGGCTAAGGCCTAAGTTAGTACTGTTTTCTGATCACCGCCAGCATCAAAGGACGCCCCCTGGCCTACTGGCCTCACATTTTTCTATCTACAAAATGAAGAACACAGAAACTCAACTCAGAAGAACTCAGAACATTTCTAAGAGTCTTCCATAAAGTTCTTGACCTCATACCAGGAAAGCCATTTGTGTTGGAGGTAACATGGAGTGTGTTTTGGTACTTTGTCTACAGCAATATTTGAAACATGGGTTTCGCTGGATTTCGCAGTCTAGGTGACTGCTGTTGTGACCTTAGGAGAGTTTTGTATGCTTCCTGATTCTGTCTGTCCTCATACAAATAACAGCTGCAGTGAAGACTGAAGGAAAGAGACAATTGGCTAAAATGGCTAATTTTGATATATTTTTAAATTACAGTGTACAAATGACTATGGCTGAGATTTAACTTGAGGTACTCTCTAGTCTTCTAGAGCTGTTGAAGTTATTTTTAAATGTGTTATGTGCCTAAGTAGTAACTCTCTCTTTCAGATGTTTCCAGAATAGACTTTTCCATTGAGTAATAATGGCATAAGATCCTTCTGCAAAAAAAAAAAAAAGTAACCTAGAAAGTTTATTCTCAAACACTTTTTAAAATTTTTTTGTAGAGGAGAAATGAAATTTCATCTTCCCTAATACATAGAAAAAAAGTTGATTCCAGGTGAAATTTAAATAAAAGTATACTTTCAGTTGGCTTGCCCCTCTAACATTTATTATGATTATTGATCCATAATTCCAGGGTTAGAAAACTCTTCTTTAAATCACCTCTAGGCCACAATCTATTATTTTCTTGCTTTTTTGTTTAATTTTTAATACTTTTGTATGGAAAGAATAATTATCAAAACAGTTTGGATAAGATTCCAGAGCAGGTTTTCTTTGGTTCATTGACTTTTTTACATTGAAGCTTACCTTCCCAGCTACTTTGGCCTTTCACATTGATTATTCACAGTTTCATTGTTGTTGTTTTGGTTTTGGTTTTTTGAGACAGGAGCTCAATATGCAGTCCAGGCTGGCCTTAAACTACTCAATTTCCTATTGCCTCACCTGTGATCACAGGCATGTGCTATGATACCTCCCAGCTATTCAGTTATTTTCTTGATTTGTTTCTATAAGCTCATCAGATTGATCTATTAAGAACATCAAGACTTTGCCTAGAGTTCCTAGACATTGTAGTAGAGAGAAAAGCTTGCAGAATAGCTTATTATTAATATTTGAGATTATCTAAAATCTAAAAGGAAAACACCCAAAATGACTGTGGTTATAAGACAGTAGAGTTGAATAAGAAAAACAAGTTGAGATGATAAAATATGTGTAGTGCCTTTTTTAAAGATCCCTAGCATTGGGGCTGGGAAGGTAGCTCAGTGGTAGAGTGCTTTCCTTACATGCATGAGGCCCTGGGTTCGATTCCTCAGCACCACATAAGCAAAAAGAAAAAAAGCCAGAAGTGGCGCTGTGGCTCAAGTGGTAGAGTGCTAGCCTTGAGCTGAAGAGCTGAGGGACAGCGCCCAGGCCTCACGACCGGACCCAAAAAAAAAAAAAAAGATCCCTAGCATTTTTGTCTTGAGGCCTAGAGTATATTCATGTGAGAGGAAATTTCATGGCTATTTCAGGGCCCTCTACCTAAACTATTAATATGCCTCTAAATATTAGTATTTTAAAATATTAGTATTATGTGGCCTAATTTAAAATATAATTAAAAATAAAATATTAGTGTTCTGTGGCCTATACCTAAAATATTAGTATTTTAAAATATTAGTATTGTGGCCTGTCAATACAGATATGCATACTAGTAGATATGGTAGCCATGTATTACATTTGCATTGCCACTGTTGTGGTCATTAAATAGAGGAATGTAGAATAATAATTGGAGAGCAACACACAGGAAGATTACAAGGGGAGTGACTCCAGGGAGAATTTCACAATGACATAGGAAGTCTTCTGTAATATTGAGGCTGGCCTGGACTAGACTGTTGTGATTCAAAGGCAGCTTAAAGTTTTTAGAGAGATTTGGTCTGTTCTCCTCCTGGCTCATTACAACAAAAGAAAACAGACTTAGGGGATTACTTGGTGAAGAATTTTACTGCTGCTTTCATTGAATTGATGTAGAACTAAATCAAACATTTTAACAGTTGTAAAATTACTGGAGAGATTAATACTTGGAAGCTTTCTAAAGCCTTAAAGTTTATAAGATAAACTTGTAAGTTTATGGATAGAGCATATAGAACAAGTCAAGGAATGTAGACAGGTCCAATGAATCATGAAAATAGTATACCTAAGACAAGATCCAGATGCTTTGTTTTAGAGGCCTGGACTATCCAATGCCTTTAAAAATCCAAAAGGCTATTCTTCCTTCTTTGCTTAGTGGACTCTTGATAGCATTTGCTAGTTCAGTGTTTCTAAAATTAATCCCAAGTCAAACTGAAATAAGGCCCTATTGGTTCATTTAAATGGCCAAAGTTGTCTGGGTGAGACATATCATTATAAAATACTTGTGTATGGCAGGGCACTGTGGCTAGCACCTGTAATTCTAGCTATGTAGGAAGCTGAAATCTGAGGACTGTGGTTCAAAGCCAGCCCTAGATAGAAAAGTCCAATTAACCAGCAAAAAGCTGGAAGTGAAGCTGTGGCCTAAGTGGTAGAGCACCAGCCTTAAATGAAAAAGCAAAGCAAGAGTGGAGACCCTGAGTTCAAGCCCCACTATTTGGTACATGCATGTGTGCGTGCATGCGTGCGTGTGCACACACACACACAATCATATATATAGATGGAGATATAGATTCCTGATGTGCTGTTCAGATGCTTCTCATCCTCTAGGAAAGAGGAAAACAGTCTGTCTCTCAAGTGTTGTGCCTTTGTATGAGCAATGCAATATTTATTTCCTGTCTTGCAGTAAAAACTGCTCATTGTTGCTTTTACCAGGTCACTGACAAGGAACGGGAGTTTGCTGCTGCTGCTGCAAAACAACTCGAGTATCAGCAATTGGAAGACGATAAACTTTCTCAGAAATCATCTAGCAGCAAACTCTCTCGGTCTCCACTGAAGATCGTCAAAAAGCCTAAAAGCATGCAGTGCAAAGTAATACTTTTGGATGGATCCGAATATACCTGTGATGTGGAGGTAAGGGTGTGTTTTAAAACTTCAGGGCTGCAGATATATTGAGCTGGGGAATGTCGGGAGAAAACATACAAGATGACTCTTGATTCTTTTTCCAGACTTCTGGAAAATTTTTTAGCTCTAGTCTGTAAATATAGAATTATTTCCAACTTTTAACAGGAGAACAAATTACTAAAACTATGTATAGTGCACCAAAATTTAGAATAGGTCTTTACGTATTGGAAAAAAAATTAAGGTGGAATTTCTTAACACTTTCCAGGACAGGAACAAAAATGGAGGGTTATTCTTTCTGTGTAAATTCTTTAAATATGGTTGGCTATGGGCTCATTTTGACAATAACCATGTATTTCTCTTGTTTAGGGCATGAGTACTTTTTTAAGTGGCTGTAGAGCTTCTATGTCAAAGGCTATAGCTCTCTCTCTGTTTCTTTGAAAAGAAAAGCAAAATTCCAGTGGGAGAAAGGACAGTTGGGTGATTTTTGTCAGAGATGTTAGCAAGATCAAGTTATCAAAAAGAGTAACACTGCCTGTCAGAAGCTACAGTTGGATGTTGTATGGGTCTCTGAGTGTCATGCAATAGCCACGCACATGAACTGGCACTCTGGAGGAGGTCCTGTGGGCATCCTGAAGGCATGACTTGCTCATTCTTCCTTCCTCCAGCCCCTATCCTTGTTTCCCAGAGAGGGAGTCACATGTCTACCACACCAGCCCCTCCCTGCAGGCTTCTACAGTCTTTTGTTCCCTGACAGCTAAAGACGTTGAAGTCATCTGTCATTCACCATGGTCAGAGCACCTGTGTGTGTGTGGCCACAATTTCTATTCTTCTTTCTCTTAACAGCCATCACCGAGCCATCTGGTTTTCCTTCATCTGCCTCCACTTTCTCCTTCTTACAACCCTCTTAGTGTTCCGCATGTATTTTGTATAGTGTACCCGTATGCCCAGTGCCTTTTTTGTAATAGAAGATTCAAATATGTTTCACATGGATAGTGTCATCCAGGATAAGGGTAAGGAATGGGCTACTAGCTTATTATAGATTGAAGCAACATAGAAAAAATTTTAATAAATTCTTATCTCAAAATTTACTTAATCTAACCAGGCACCAGTGGCTCCCATCTGTATTCCTAGTTAACTGAGAAGGCAGAGATCTGAGGATTGTGGTTCAAAGCCACTCTGGGCAGGAAAAGCTATAAGACTTTTATCTTCAGTTAACTAGAAAAATAAAAGCTGAAAATGGAGGTATTGCTCAAGTAGTAAAGGCCAGCCTTGAGAAAGCTAAGGGACAGTCCTATGCCCTGAGTTCAAGCTGCAGTACTTGAGAAAGCTAAGGGACAGTCTTATGCCCTGAGTTCAAGCTGCAGTACTAACACATAAACACACACACACACACACACACACACACACACACACACACACACACTTATGTAATCTAGTTTGGTTTGAGTGATAAACCTATCCAAAGCATTTCAAACTACACATATAGGCTGGGCAATGGTGAGTCACGTATTCCTAGCTACTCAGGAGATCTGAGGATCACATTTTAACGCTAAGCCTGAATGGCTCAAAGTGGTAGAGCAATAGCCTTGAGCAAAAGAGCTCAGTGACAGCACACAGGGCCCGAGTCAAGCCCCGTGACTAACAAAAAAAAATGCACATAGAGGATGTCTTGACTATGAAAAAAATGCAGACTGAATAGCCCACATAAAATATAATAAAATTCGCAAAGAAAATAAAGTAAAAATAAAATTATTTAATCTGTCTTATGCTGACTTGTAGAATCATCCTATAGCCTAAAGATGTTAGTTTTTTTTTCCTTTTAATAAAATACTTCTGTTAAGCCTGGCGCTGGTGGCTCATGCCTGTAATCCTAGCTACTTAGGAGGCTGAGATCTGAGGATTGCAGTTCAAAGCCAGTCCAGGCAGGAACATCCATGAGACTCTTATCTCCAATTAAATACCAGAAGACCAGAAGTGGTACTGTGGCTTAAAGTGATAGATTTCTAGCTTTGAGTGGAAAAAAAAACTAAGGGACTGAGTTCAAGCCCCACAACCAACAACAACAAAAATAAAAAATTGTTAATCTGATATAAAACACGTTTTGGTATAAAAACACCACAGAACACTATGAGGAGAATATTTTCAGACATTGATAGTAGATTAAAAACAGTGTAGTTGATGCTGACAATTTTGTAGAGACAATTATGTGGAGAAGATAAGGAAATTTAAATGTGGCAAAGTTCAATGGACTCATTTGGTGCTGATTGGTTGAAAAAGAAAAGGTTGTCAGTCAGAGTAGGTGTGGGTGGCTCACTCTTGTAATGCTCACTCAGGAGGCTGAGTCCTGAAGATCAGAATTTGAAACAAGCCAGTGCAGAAAAGTACTGGATTTCATTTCAACCAGCAAAAATGCAGGACTAGAGGCCTGGCTCAAATGGTAGAGCACCAGCCATGAGCAAGAAAGCCAAGTAAGAGCTGTGGTATTGCTTCTGAGGTGGCAATGAGATGCTAGTTGAAAATGTCTCTTCTCTTTTGGCATATACTTTAGAAAGTAAAGCTTGGCTGGAACGTATACATGGCACATTCTAGGTAAATAGACTTAAAACACATACCTTTTTGTTTTGCTTGGTTTTGTCTCGGTACATGCGCTTGGACACAGGGCTTCAGGCTCACTTGGGCTTTCTTGCTCGGATCTGGTGCTCTACCACTTGGGTTATGCCTGCAGCCCAGCTTTTTGCTAATTAAAGATGGAGTTTTTCAGACTCTTTTGCCCAGGCTGGCTTTGAATTAAGGTCTTCCAACTCTCCACCTCCTGAGTAGATAGGATTACAGACACTGGCACCTGGCTAAGAAGTCAGATTTTAATAAACATTAAAAACATGTTTTAACCAGGAGCTGGTGGCTTATGCCTGTAATCATAGCTACTCAGGAGGCTGAGATCTGAGGATCTCGGTTCTAAGCCAGCCTGGGCAGAAAATTCCCCATGAGACTCTTATCTGCAATGAACCACTCAAAAACCAGAAGTGAAGCCAAGGCTCAAAATGGTAAAATGGTCGGCCTTGAGTTCAAGCTTCCTGACCACCACCATCAACAACAGTAATAACAAAACAAAAATAAATTTGTGTGTGTGTGTGTGTGTGTGTTTTAGATGTTAATCTTGAGACCATGTATACTTTGTAATAATAAGAATCTCAGGAGGAATTGTAGGGGCACTTAGGGAGGCCACCTGATTTTCAGGTGCTCCTTGACAATTTCCATGGCCTGTTCCTACTTGTGGCATGAAAAGACTCAGATACTTAGACATACTGGAAGCAACCGCATTACAGGTTAATCCCTTTTCCCAGTGCCTGTAGTTGGAGGGGAATTAAGAGCAGAATGACGGGGGCAGCAACAGGCGGAACTCTTCTACAAATTTAATAAGGCATCCCAGAGAATTTTCTTTTAATGAACTCGTGATGATTTCTCCCATGACTTGCTTAATGCCTTCATTATTGTACCCTCAAAATGAATGAGGCTCAGCTGTGCCATGAGGCTCAGCTCTGCTCTTAATTGTGATAATTTGCGTCATCTCTGAAAGGGCCCCTTCCAGTACAAGGTAGCATTTCCCCTGGCCCAGCAGTGTCTCTGCAGAAGAGACCCAGTGACCCAGAAAAGAGCCATATAAGGCGCAGTTTTCTGAAGGCAATGACTGGATACAATCCAGCTGTTCAGTTCCTGCCTGTCCCCCTCCCATTTTTTTTTTTTGGTTGGTGGTGTTGCCTTTTTTATGTTTTTTTTTTATTGTAAAAATAGTATACAGAGGCGTTTCAGTTACATGAGTAAGGTAATGAGTACATTTCCTATCAAGCATTGTTACCTACTGCTTTGTTTTCCCCCTACTATCCCTTCCCGTCCCACCAGCCCAACTCTCCCCTCCCCCCCCATTGTCAAGTTCATTTTCATCATAGTGTCTTGTACATTAGAAAAATGTATATACCAGATGCAGGGCACTGAAGTCAAATACAGTGAAAACAGGTGTTATATCATGGGGGAAGAACATACAAGAGAAACAAAAAAATCACGTAGTACATTTTAGAGACCTTAAAAACAATAGAAAGAAAGAAAAAACAAGTTGTGTCCCTATCTTGGGGTTCATTTCACTGAACATCATCTTACATGGTCATATGTACATAGCTTTTGTCCTTTTCTGATTGTCCTAAACTTATACCAGTTATTGCAAATCAGGGAAACCATGGGACCCATGTTTCTTTGGGCCTGGCTTACTTCACTTAATATAATTTTTTCCAAGTCTTTCATTTCCTAACAAATGGGGCAATGTCATTCTTTCTGATGGAGGCATAGAACTCCATATATCACATTTTCTTGATCCATTCATCTACTGATGGGCATCTGGGTTGGTTCCATATCTTAGCTATGGTAAATAATGCTGTGATAAATATAGTTGTGCTGGTAGCTTTAGTATAGCCTTGTTTGTGATCGTTTGGGTAAATACCTAAAAGTGGGATTGCTGAGTCATAGGGGAGCTCTATGTGGAGTCTTTCCAGTGACTTCCATATTGCTTTCCAAAGCAGTTGAATTTTGCATTCTCACCAACAATGCAGTAGGGTTCCCTTTTGGCCACATCCCCTCCAGCATCTGTCATTATTAGAGTTCTTGGTTATAGACATTCTAACTGGGGTGAGGTGGCATCTCAATGTTGTTTTGATTTGCATTTCTTCTATGGCTAGAGAAGTTGAGCATTTCTTCATGTGTCTATTGGCCATTCTTATTTCCCCTTCAGAGAAGTTTCTCTTATTTATTTAGCCCACTTATTTATTGGGCAGTTGTTTCTTTGAGGATTTGTTGTTGGGGAATTTAATTTTTTGAGTTCCAGGTATATTTTAGATATGAGACCCTTGTCCATTGTATGGCTAGTGAAGATCTTCTCCCAATTCGTGGGTTTTCTATTGATCTTGATAGCTGTGTCCTTTGCCATGCAGAAACTCTGCAGCTTCATGCAATCCCATTTG